AAAACGATAGTTAATAAGTTTTGGAGTGTCCACGTTATTTTGTTATTCGTAGTTGAACTATTGGTATATGTTGGGATTTGGATTCCTCTGTACACCTACCTACGAGGTTAAGTGTGGGTGTCACTCACGACTCATTTTGGATCGTGACTTACATGTCTCAAAGTAGATTTTTATAGATGTAATATTTAGGAGTTATAAATTTTATATTAAATAATTTGAAGGGTATGAATATGAAAGGTTAAGAGTTACATAAATTATTAAAATATTAGAAGCTATATATATTATTAAAAGGTCTGGGATTATCTATATTGTTAAATTAATTAAGATTTGAATTTATGTAATTGAATGGTATGAATTACAGATATGATTTTATAAAATAAAATAATTGAAGAAAATTAAAAAACATCAAAAAACCACAAAAATAAAAAAAATAAATAGGATTCTTTTTGTGTGTGTGTGCGCGTACGTGCGTGCGTTGTGCGTGCGTGCGTGCGTTTGTGTGTGTGTGTGAATTTTTTATTTTTTATTTTTAAAAATAATAGAAATAGAAGGTATAATAATAATAAAAACTAAAAAAATGATATATTATATTGTGAGACGAAAAATAATTCGTCACTAAAAGTATACAAAGACGATTTTGCTGAATATATTATATTAACTATAGAAAGAAAAGTCATACCGAAATCCTTAAACAGTTGTGACAAATTTATTTATCGTAAAAGGTATGTCCACTTTTTTGTACTGAATAGTATGTTTGTCACTAAAAAGGTTATTACTACCTACAAAATTATATTGTCGCTATTATTTTACTTCAACTAGTGACAAAATCAATTTTCTCTATAGTTAAATGTATTTTGTAGTTAAAGAAAATCTAATTTCGCCTTTATTGACTATATTTTATATACAAAAAATTATTCTGTTCTTTAATATATTAGGGATAATTTTATCATTACAAAAAAAGTTTATTTTTCATATGAATATTGCATAATTATTAAAATTACTATTAGGAATTTTCTATTTTTGCCATCTCTTTCTAAATATTAACCAACTTAAATTTATTTACTTCTCTAACCCATGTATTGATTTCATGGTTTTCATTCTTAAGTTCTTATTTGAGACAAATGAATAGCAATATTAAGTTAATAAAGTAAATAATCTACTATAATTAAATAAATTTTAATTAGGTTAATTTTAAAATATAAAACATTTTACCATCAAAATGTTCTTATTATCAATGTACATAAAATTGAATAGAAAAAATATTATTATTTCTCTTCAATATTTGATCCACAATATTTAAAACTCTAACCAAAGAACTATTATTATGAATTTAGTAAGACTCTTAGTTTACTTTGATTTCATTGTGACTCGATTGTGTAATGACCCGATAGGTCATTTTTGGAAATATGAATTATTTCCTTAACTTGAATTAATTAATGGATGGGTGATCATAGATAATGAATTAATAGATAGTTAGTGGGCTAATGTGATAATTTATTAAAAATCCTATACCATTTGTCCCTTATATATTAAAAATAAATTGGTGATATTTAGTAATTTTTACTATAATTATTATTTAAAGAAATAGAGGAAAAGAAAACTACCCTAGAACGAGACTTCATGCAACATCGACAATGAAGATTTGACCTCCTGGTAAGCAAATCTAAAATTAGTTTCAAATCTATCCACATACAATGATATTGGAAGGTTGTTTACATTTATTACTCATTAAAAAAAATGGGATAATGAAATGGAAGTGCATGTGTTGTCTGTTATGTTTGAACTTGGAAAAAATATTATATATATATATATATATATATATATATATATATATATATATATATATCTATATATATGACTTTTGGTGAGTTTTCTTGGTGTGGTGCTAACCAATATGTATTTTAGTAATTTTTGTGTATTGTTGGAACTTTGAAGGAAGGAAAAAAAACAATATGAAAAGCAATACTTGTGTAATGGGGCTAAAAACATTTAAGTCACAGTGAATAGTGCTCGTGGGTCCCTGGAAAATTATCATCACTACATTTTATTAATCAAAATTGGTGAGAGAATTGCTATATAGTGATTAAGAATTAGGATAAGTATGTCTAGTGACATATGAATCATTGGAGTTCGAACGTTGTGATCTATTCGTGGAGATTTAAATTAAATTATTGTTATTATCACATTATGAATTAAGTTTTGATATATTGGGATGACTAATTAAATATTAGATCTATCATATCATATAAATTTCATTTGAATTATGATATTGGAGGAATTGAAATTTAGTCCTAGGCTTGAAACTTGGAAAACTATGATGGTTGAAATGTTAATTTACATCAAGAGTAACAAACTTGATTATAAATGTGGGTCAATTTTTAGTTCAAGGTTAAACTTATTAAAATTTGGGTGTTGCTAGTTGTGAAACCTTATTGTGAATATATATACTTGAATAGATCCCATTGATTCAGAAGCTCAACAGAAAGGGAAGACTCAAGTCCTAGAGTCATTATTCGATTGACAAAGGCAAGTGGATTTCTAAACCCTTGTTAAGCGTATGAAATGCGTGTATTCTCTTGTGTGGTATTGAGAATGACTTGGAGACTTGTTGCTTATTTGTTGGTGTTGTATTCCTTGTAGTAAATTGCGCTTTGTTATCAAAATGGTTATCTCTTCATTTTCATTTGAGCATGTCATTTGCATTGTATCCGAGACATGATTGTGGTAAGAGGATGTACCATTTCGAGGGTCGTATCGCGCGCCGCGATGGATATTATATTTCGAGGGACGTATCGCGCGCTGCGAAGGTTACTATTATCGAAGGTCGTGTCGTGCGCCGACAAATGCATGGACAGATATGTCCCCCATGGGTCCCAGACTGAGAGACAGCGGGTGTGTTTCGTTAAGAAAGACATGCATCACTATATTTGACATTGCATCTCATGGCATTTCATATTTTATTATTGATGAACTTGAACACGTGTTTTGATGATCTTGTGAGTGTTTCTCTGTAAAAATTGTGACAGTTGAATATTGAGTTGTTATTGAGAATGTGTAAACTGATAGAGTGTGATTATTGAGTTGTGTGTTTAGAAAACTGTAAATTGTTAGGCTGTAGCGTGGAGGTTTAGGCAGGGTGCAAGGAGTACCTGTATTTTGTTCACTTAACTTGTATTTAGAGGTTTGCTTGTTGGGTACCGCGTGGTTTGGTACTCACCCTTGCTTCTACAAATTTTTGTAGGTTACAAGCTCGGATCTTCGTGATATCTGTCATTCTCTTTGTTTCCGAGGCATCTTGGGGAGGGTTGTGAGGTAGCTGCTTGTTATCTCAGCGAACTTTCCTACTCCAGTTTATGACTTTGTTTTTACTTGAAAGACAACTTCATTTTAGACTTATATTTTATTTCAATTCTAATATTTACATTAGAGGCTTGTGCATGTGACAACCTGGTTTTGGGGATCGAAGTAATATAACTTGGTTTCATAATAGAAATTGTTGTTTGATTGTCATTTACTTTCGCACTTCGTTAGATATTGGGTTTTAGGATGAGTTGTCTTGGTGGGATAAGACGAGTGTCATCACACCCATTTTTGGGTCGTGAGAAATGGTATAAGAGCCCTAGGTTCATAGGTCTCACGTGTATACAAGCCGAGTCTACATAGAGTCTCAAGGATCAGTACGGAGACGTCTGTACTCATCTCTAAGAGACAATAAATATTACTAGGAAACTCCATTTTGTTCATTCTTTCTCATCGTGCGTTGTCACCTTCTTTAGTACTGAGTTGTTGTATACTCTTTTGACAGATGACGAGGACTAGAACTAATGTTACTTGTCGTAGAGGGGAGGCACTTCCCGAGGCAGTTGTTGAGGCCCCAACTAGGGGTAGGGGTAGATCTCGAGCTAGAGGTCGTGCTAGTAGTACGACAGTAGCCAGAGGTCGTGGACGTGGAGAAGCACCAGTGAGAGGTCATGCTAGAGAGGTCTCTACAGAACCTTAGATTGATGGCAGAGAGGACCAGGTTCCTCCAGAGCCTGTAGTCACACCTTTGCTTCAGGATACACTATTGAGGGTGTTAAGTGTGCTAGAGGGATTTTCTCATAGTGGTGGTGCGACCGCCACACCACATGACTCTCGTACTAGAGAGGGGGATCAGACCCAAGAGCAGCAACAAGCTCCAGTTGTTCAGGATGCGGTGGGGAAACTACCAGTAGATCCCGCAGTTCAGAATGATGTTGCACCAGCAGTTGGGGGTCGAGTTGCATCGGTGGTTGTTCTGACAGAGGATGAGCAGCGTAGGTATGAGAGATTTAGAAAGATGGACCCACCTCTGTTTCAGGGTGGGAAGAGCAAGGATGCTCATGAGTTTCTAACTACCTGTCAAGAATTACTAGAGGTGGTTGGATTAGCTGAGTCACATGGGGTTCGATATGCTACACTCCAGCTTCGTGGACCAGTAAGAGACTGGTGGAGGACTTATTCGGGGGGTTTTGCTAGTTGGATCTCCTCTAGTGACTTGGGAGCAGTTTGCTAGTGCATTCCAAGATCGTTAAATCCCTTGGAGCGTGGAGAGGAGAGTCGCTTGAGGTTTGAGAGTCTAAGACAGGATGGTTTATCGGTTACAGAGTATGAGGCGCATTTTTGCCAATTTTCTAGGCATGTGCTGGCCATTATTCCAAATGAGACAGAGAGGATCCACAGAATTGTGAGGGGATTGACTTTCTCTATTAGGTGAGTTGTGTTTCGGGCATCTAGGGAGGGGGCTTCTTTTCAGTCCATTGTGAGCGCCGCTAAAGAGGCGGAATTGATGGAGAGAGGGGAGTTTGGGGACCCTAAAAGGGTTCGCATATCAGGTCAGTTTCATGGTGCCTTATCTGGGGGTGGGGGATCACAGAGATTGAGTGGTTCTTTCCATCAGTGAGGACCTATTCATGCATCTATGCCGACATTTGAGGGTGGCCATACATCTAGGGGTTCTTATAGCCCGGGTCAAGGCTCATATGGTTCACAGCAGCGACCTACAGGGCGAGGCAATTATAGTGGGTTTTCAGGGTCCTTACAGCAGCTCCCAGGTCAGAGATTTTGTTTTACTTGTGGAGATCCCGATCATCTAATGCGGCAGTATACTTCTCAAATAGGTCATTGTGGGCCTCGACTTAATTCCTCATTCCAGACTAGACCACCAGCACCACAGGGTAGAGGTCGTGGCAGAGTTCAGTCAGGCAGGGGTGATAGAGTTTCTAGTAGTGGTGTTGCAGCTCAGCAGAGTGGGGGTAGAGGTACCACCCCGGCTGGAGGTGGACGAGGAGGCCACTGCTATGCTTTTCCTGGAAGACCTGAGGCGGAGACCTCTGATGCTGTTATTACAGGTATTATCCCAGTATGCCATTGACCTGCGTCTGTGTTGTTTGATCCAGGTTCTACATTCTCTTATGTGTCTATGCATTTTGGTGCTAAATTTGATATGATATGTGATAGCATGACTGTACCTATTCGTGTTTCTACACCCGTGGGTAAGCCCTTAGTGGTGGATCGAGTGTATCGATCCTGTCTTGTTTCTTTTGTTGGGTATGACACTTGGGTAAACTGAATCATTCTCGGGATGGTAGACTTTGATGTTATCTTGGGTATGGATTGGCTTTCTCCTTATCACGTTGTCCTTGATTGTAATGCTAAGACTGTGACTTTAGCAATGCCTGGTGTTTCGAGGGTTATGTAGAAGAGTGTTAGTGGTTCTTATCCTATCAAGGTTATCTCTTTTATTCGTGCTCAGAGAATGGTAGAGAGGGAGTGTTTGTCTTACTTAGCTTTTATTCGGGATACTAGTGTTGAACCACCTCCAATGGACTCTGTTCCCGTGGTTCAGGAGTTTCTCGATGTATTTCTCTCTGATATCCCAGGTGTTCCTCCCAATAGGGATATCGATTTGGCTATTGATTTGGAGCCTGGCACTAAGCCTATTTCTATACCCACATATCGTATGGCCCCAGCAGAGTTAAAAGAATTAAAGGATCAATTGCAGGATTTATTGAGTAAGGGTTTTATTCGCCCTAGTGTATCACCTTGGGGTGCCCCTGTATTATTTGTGAAGAAAAAGGATGGGACTATGATGATGTGTATTGATTACAGACAGTTGAACAAAGTAACAGTGAAGAATAAGTATCCTCTTCCGCGTATTGATGACTTATTTGATCAAATACAGGGAGCATCATTGTTCTCTAAGATTGATTTGAGGTCTGGGTATCATCAGTTGAAGATTAGGGCTTCACATATCCCTAAGACAACTTTTCGGACCCGGTATGGGCATTATGAGTGTCTAGTGATGTCCTTCGGATTGACTAATGCCCCTGAAGCATTCATGGAGTTGATGAATGGGGTGTTTCGACCATACCTTGAATCTTTTGTGATTGTTTTCATCGATGACATCCTTGTTTACTCTAAGACTGAGGAGGACCATGTCCGACACCTAAGAATTGTACTTCAGAGGTTGAGAGAAGAGAAGTTGTATGCGAAGTTCTCAAAGTATGAGTTCTGGCTTACTTCTGTGACATTCTTGGGACACGTGGTGTCCAAGGAGGATATTAGAGTAGATCTGGTCAAAATTGAGGCAGTTAGAGTCTGAACGCGACCTACTTCACCTACTGAGATTCGGAGTTTTATGGGATTGGCAGGCTATAATCGACGGTTTGTTCAGAGTTTCTCTACTATTGTTGCCCCATTAACTAGATTGACTCAACAGGATGTGCGTTTTTAGTGGTCTGATGAGTGTGAGCAGAGCTTTCAAAAACACAAGACTTTGTTGACTTCAGCTCCTATGTTGACTCTACCTGAGGAGGGTGTAGACTTTACAGTGTATTGTGATGCTTCAGGAGTTGGATTGGGTGGTGTGTTGATGCATAAGGGGAAAGTGATTTCTTATGCTTCTAGGCAATTGAAGTCCCATGAGAAGAACTACCCTACTCATGACTTGGAATTGGCGGCTGTGGTATTTGTACTTAAGTTATGGCGTCATTATTTGTATGGATTGCATTGTGAGATCTTCACTGATCATCGGAGTCTTCAGTATATCTTTAGTCAGAGGGATTTGAACTTGAGGCAGCGGAGATGGCTTGAGTTGCTGAAGGACTATGATGTGACCATTCTGTATCATCCTGGGAAGGCTAATGTTGTGGCTGATGCTTTGAGTAGGAAGACTCCTAGCATGGGGAGTCTTGCATCTCTTAGTATTGAGGAGAGACCATTGGCTAGAGATGTTCAGATGTTAGCTAACAGTCTTATCTGATTGCAGAGTTAAGAATAGAGTGATGAGATGATTGCTTTTATTGAGGCTCGGTCTTCTTTAGTTGAGCAGATCCGTGCACACTAGTTTAATGATGAAAAGTTATGTCTCATTCGAGAAAAAGTATTGAGAGGGGAAGCTAAGGAGGCTGTCCTTGATTCTAATGGTGTCTTGAGAATCGGAGGCAGGGTTTGTATGCCCAAGACAGGCGATTTGATTAGATTGATTCTTGAGGAGGCCCATTGTTCTCGGTATTCCATCCATCCGGGAGCGGCGAAGATGTTTCATGATCTGAGTCAGCATTACTGGTGGTGTGGGATGAAGAGAGATATTTTAGACTTTGTTTCGAGATGTTTGACTTGCCAGCAGGTCAAGTGTGAGCACCAGCGGCACGGAGGTGTATCTCAGAGGATGCCTATTCCTACTTGGAAGTGGGAGCGGATTACTATGGACTTTGTTGTGGGTTTGCCTACCACAGTGGGTGGTTATGACTCTATTTGGGTCATTGTTGATAGGATGACCAAGTCTGCCCATTTCATTCCGGTTCGGGTGAAGTATACAGCAGAAAAGTTAGCCGAGTTATATATAAGTTAGATCGTGCGACTACATGGGGTTCCTATCTCTATTATATCATATTTAGGTTCATTATTTACTTCTCACTTCTGGAAGGCATTACAGCACGGTCTTGGTACTCAGATATGAGTAAAACTTTTCACCCTCACAGATGGTTTTTCCGAGCGGACGATTCAGGTGTTGGAGGACATGCTCCGGGCGTGTGTGATCAATTCTGGAGCTAGAAGGGATCGACATTTACCCTTAGAGGAGTTTGCCTATAATAATAGTTATCACTCTAGTATCCAGATGACCCCATTTGAAGCATTGTATGGAAGACGGTGTAGGTCACCGATTGGTTGGTTTGATTCGACGGAAATGGACTCTTTGGATACAGACTTGCTTAGAGATTCTTTGGAGCAAATCCGTATGATTCAGTATAGATTATTGACAGCTCAGAGTCGACAGAAGAGTTATGCAGATCGGAGAGTTAGAGCCTTAGTGTTTATGGAGGGTGATCATGTTTGGCTTCGAGTATCACCCATGAAGGGCGTGATGAGGTTTGGAAAGAAGGGAAAGCTTAGCCCTAGGTTTATTGGAACTTTTGAGATTTTGAGCCGAGTGGGAGAGGTGGCCTATAAGTTGGCCTTGCCACCTAGTTTGTCGGCAGTTCATCCTATTTTTCATGTCTCTATGCTTCGGAAGTATATTTTGGATGAATCTCATGTGCTTTCACTTGAATCCGTGGAGTTGGGTCCAGACTTGACATTTGAGGAGGAGCCTATAGCTATTTTTGCTAGGCAGGTTCGCAAGCTTAGTACCAAGGAGATTGCTTCAGTGAAAGTGCAATGGAAGCACCGATCTGCGGGGGAGGCAACTTGGGAGACAGAGTCTGACATGCGTGCTAGATATCCACAACTTTTTGAAGCTCCAGGTGTTTTCTTTCATCTTATGTTTGAGGACGAACATAATTTTTAGTGGTGGATAATGTAATGATCCAGAAGGTCATTTTTGAAAATATGAATTATTTCCTTTAACTTGAATTAATTAATGGATGGTTGATCATAGATAATGAATTAATAGATAGTTAGTGGGCTCATGTGATAATTTATTAAAGATCCTATACCATTTGTCCCTTATATATTAAAAATAAATTGGTGATATTTAGTAATTTTAGTATAATTATTATTTTGAAGAAATAGAGGAAAAGAAAACTACCCTAGAACGAGACTTCGTGCAACATCGACAATGAAGATTTGACCTATTGGTAAGAAAATCTCAAATTAGTTTCAAATCTATTCACATACAATGATATTGGGAGGTTGTTTACATTTATTACTCATTAAAAAAAATGGGATAATGAAATGGAAGTGCATGTGTTGTCTGTTATGTTTGAACTTGGAAAAAATATTTTATATATATATATATATATATATATATATATATATATAGGACTTTTGGTGGGTTTTCTTGGTGTGGTGCTAATTAATAATAAAGTAATGATTGGGTATTGATGTATTTTAGTAATTTTTGAAGGAAGAAAAAAAATAATAAGAAAAAGCAATACTTGTGTAATGGAGTTAAAAACATTTAAGTCACAGTGAATAGTGCTCGTGGGTCCCTAGAAAATTATCATCACTACATTTTATTAATTAAAATTTGTGTGAGAATTTCTATATAGTGATAAAGAATTAGGATAAGTATGTCCAGTGACATATGAATCATTGGAGTTCGAACGTTGTGATCTATTCGTGGAGATTTAAATTAAATTCTTATTATTATCACATTATGAATTAAGTTTTAATATATGGGGATGACTAATTAAATATTAGATATATCATATCATATACATGTCATTTGAATTATGATATTGGAGGAATTGAGATTTAGTCCTAGGCTTGAAACTTGGAAAACTATGATGGTTGAAATGTTAATTTACATCAAGAGTTACAAACTTGATTATAAATGTTGGTGAATTTTTAGTTCAAGGTTAAACCTATAAAAATTTGGGTGTTGTTAGTTGTGAAACCTTATTGTGAATATATATACTTGAATAAATCCCATTGATTCGGAAGCTCAACAGAAAGGGAAGACTCAAGTCCTAGAGTGATTATTCGATTGACCAAGGCAAGTGGATTTCTAAACCCTTGTTAAGCGTATGAAATTCGTGTATTCTCTTGTGTGGTATTGAGAATGACTTGGAGACTTGTTGCTTATTTGTTGGTGTTGTATTCCTTGTAGTAAATTGCGCTTTGTTATCAAAATGGTTATCTCTTCATTTTCATTTGAGCGTGTCATTTGCATTGTATCTGAAACATGATTGTGGTAAAAGGGTGTACCATTTCGAGGGTCGTATCGCGCGCCGCAATGGATATTATATTTCAAGGGACGTATCGCGCACCGCGAAGGTTACTATTATCGAGGGTCGTGTCATGCGCCGCGACAGATGCATGGACAGATATGTCCCTCATGGGTCCTGGACTGAGAGACAGCGGGTGTGTATCGTTAAGAAAGACATGCATCACTATATTTGACATTGCATCTTATGGCATTGCATATTTTATTATTGATGAACTTGAACACGTGTTTTGATGATCTTGTGAGTGTTTCTCTGTAAAAATTGTGACTTTTGAATATTGAGTTGTTATTGAGAATGTGTAAACTGATAGAGTGTGGTTATTGAGTTGTGTGTTTGGTAAGCTGTAAATTGTTAGGCTGTAGCGTGGAGGTTTAGATAGGGTGCAAGGAGTACCTGTACTTTGTTCACTTAACTTGTGTTTAGAGGTTTGCTTGTTGGGTACCGCGTGGTTTGGTACTCACCCTTGCTTCTACAAATTTTTGTAGGTTACAAGCTCGGATCTTCGTGATATCTGTCATTCTCTTTGTTTCCGAGGCATCTTGGGGAGGGTTGTGAGGTAGCTGCTTGTTATCTCAGCGAACTTTCCTACTCCAGTTTATGACTTTGTTTTTACTTGAAAGACAACTTCATTTTAGACTTATATTTTATTTCAATTCTAATATTTACATTAGAGGCTTGTGCACGTGACAACCTGGTTTTGGGGATCGAAGTAATATAATTTGGTTTCATAATAGAAATTGTTGTTAGATTGTCATTTACTTTCGCACTTCGTTAGATATTGGGTTTTAGGCTGACTTGTCTTGGTGGGATAAGACGAGTGTCATCACATCAATTTTTGGGTCGTGACAGATTGGTGAAATAGTATCACTCTCCCAAAAAGCACATTTTTTTTACCGACGCACAAAAAAAATATTTTCTTGCGAATGAACAAGATTTTGAAAAGTTGTCATTAGTTTATCTATCTATTTATTCTTTTTTTTTATTTAATGTTCGCTAATTAAGATGTTTTTACCGCCATTTGATGAAATTTAAATCATATTTATTTTAGTAAAAAAAGAAAAGGTGTTAATGAAACATAATAAAATAGTAAGTACTCTTCTAAAAAAATGGGTCCCACAATGTTAGATAAACACATAGACATCATAATTACAATATTATATTACCCTGGAAAATGAGATTATTTATCACTTTGTCATTGGTCGTCCCTCACTTTACTCTTCTATATAGTACTAGATATTGCGTTCCTGCCCTAGCGCAGGCCCACCGTATGTTAGTTTTTTTCTTTCAATTTATGTGATATAAATGAAATTTGAAAAAGTGAACTAAATTTTTATATGTGTTTTTAAAAAAATATTTTAACTTATAAATTTATGTACCCTTTTTGTGTTATTTTTGAATAATATATGTGTACACAATAAAATTCGCGTTGAGAAAATAATTATCAAGAACGGAAAATTATAGCAACAATCGATTTTATTATTTCAAATGCGAGTGTTACAATTTCTATAATTCCTCTGAATTCGCCTTTTCAAATATAAATTCAAGGGCTTTAAAGCTTGTTCTTGAATCTACGATTAACTTGAACTTGAACTTTATCTTGATCTTGACTTTTATTTGATATCAAGGGCTTCGAGCTTGTTCTTGAATTCGGTGGTCTTGATCTTGATCGTTCTTGAACTTGAATGCTTGAATTCTTAAACTAGTAGCTTTGTAGAGAATTAAATGACGTTTGTACCACAGAGTTTCTTTAGCTTCTTGTTTAGAATTTTCTGTCTCTTTTCTTAATTATGAGGACCCCTATTTATAGTTTTAGAATAAAGGAGTTGCGAATGAAATAGGATTCCATTCAGCCAATCAGATTAAAGTGACATGGCATTTGGGCTTTATGGAGCGGGCTTGTCATCTTTAACACATGTCATGATTCTATTGGTTTTCTTATTTGACTTGGCATGCCACATCATCTGCACACGTGGCGCCAAGATGGGCTCTAGTTGAGATTGGGTTTAACAAATTGGGTTCATCCAATGTAGCTCAAATCAATTAATTTAGACTTTAATTAAATCCATATTTATTGGACTTAAATATTTAACTCAATTATATCAATCCACAATATTTATTTGGATTAACATATTTATGAATTAAATATAATCCGAATCATTATATAAATTTATATTTGATAAATTTTAAATGATTACAAATGCCCCCTGCTTCAAGTCTTGTCGAGATATTTTATCTTTTAGAGACTAGGCTTGAAGCATTAACTGGTTACTAAATTCACCTTAGTTAAAAATGAATTATAATTGAATTAACAGTTTTAATCCTACTCAATTTCATATTCATATTGTTTTTTATTGCCCAGGCCAAAAAGAAATTGCAATTGAACTAGAAACTGTAATCCTGCTCAATTTCATATTCATATTATGTTTTATTGCCCAAGCCAAAAAGAAATTGTAATTGAACTAGGGATTGTAATCTTACTCAATTTCATATTCATATTATATTTTATTGCCAAGCCAAAAAGAAATTGTAATTGGACTAGTAATTGTAATCCTACTCAATTTCATATTCATATTATGTTTTATTATCCAAGCCAAAAATAAATTGTAATTGAACTAGGAGAAGGATTCTATCCCACCACATGACATCTATAATAGATACATTGTCTCCATAATTTTATCTTCAATTACAGATTGTGAGCCTACGACGAAAAGGGCATACTCAAGGTAATTTTCCTTCTTTTTTTAAATTTATTTTCGTTACTTTTTTACAGCTTGACATGTCTATCGTAGAAAATTCATATCCCATTGTAAAAAAATCGAAATCATGAACTGTTTGATTTTTCAGAAATTAGACTTTTAGATCTCCAACATACCCGAAATTCAAAATATAATACCTTCAGAATCTTTTTAGACGATTTTTTGAAGTTAGCTCTAGATTCTGTCATGCTAAAAATTCGTCACTTTTTTTACAGCCTGACATGTTCGTCGTAGAAAATTCATATCTTATTGTAGAAAAATCAAAATCTTGAACCGTTTGATTTTTCAGAAACTAGACTTTTTGATCTATGACATATCCAAAATTCAAGATTTAAAACCTTCAGAATCTTTCTAGATGATTTTTTGAAGTTAGCTCTAAATTCTGCCATGCTAAAAATTTTCAGATTTGTGTGACTTACTTTAAATCTCGTGTCTTGACGTTGGAACAGCGAAATCACAATCCACTTGGTGATTCCTAATCTAGTCATAAAGGTCTACAACACATCCAAAATTCAAGATTTAATACCTTTCGAGTCTCAAACATCTTGACAGGTAACAATCTCTCCTTCACTTGTATTTCCCTTTTTTTTTGTTTTTTTTGTAGATCAGCAAAAGGAATTTTATATTTTATGGAGGCTACATAATGGAAGGATTTATCACATAAAAATGTGATTAACGGCCATGTCATAACAAAATAAATAAATAAAACTCTCAAGATGTTCCATGGCCCCGAATGCTTAACCAACTTGATGCTTTACTAGAATACCGTGTAATGCTCCCGCCTTGAAAATAACCTCAATGTTTTACAAGGTCCCGAATGCTTAACCAACTTGAAGCTTTTACTAGAATACCGTGTAACTCTCTTGCCTTGAAGATAACCTCAAGGTGTTACAAGGTCCCGAATGCTTAACCATAAAGCTTTACTAAAATACCGTGTAACGCTCCCACCTTGAAGATAACCTCAAGGTGTTACAAGGTCCCGAATTCTTAACAAACTTGAAGTTTTAATAGGATACAATGTAACGCTCCCGCCTTGAAGATAACCTCAAGGTGTTACAAGGTCCCGAATGCTTAACCATGAAGCTTTACTAAAATACCGTGTAAGGCTCCCGCCTTGAAGATAACCTCAAGGTGTTACAAGGTCTCGAATGCTTTAACCAACTTGAAGTTCTAATAGGATACCATGTAACGCTCCCGCCTTGAAGAAAACCTCAAGGTGTTACAAGGTCCTGAATGTTTGACCATGAATCTTTACTAGAAAACCGTGTAACGCTCCCGCCTTGAAGATAACCTCAAGGTGTTACAAGGTCCCGATGCTTAACCATGAAGCTTTATTAAAATATCGTGTAACGCTCCCGCCTTGAAGATAACCTCAAGGTGTTACAAGGTCCCGAACGCTTGACCAACTTGAAGCTTTAATAGGATACCATGTAACGCTCCCGCCTTGAAGATAACCTCAAGGTGTTACAAGGTCCTGAATGTTTGACCATGAAGTTTTACTAAAATACCGTGTAACACTCCCGCCTTGAAAATAAACTCAAGGTGTTACAAGGTCCTGAATGCTTAACCAACTTGAGACAGGATAAACCCGTGAAAAGACCAGTTTAAGGTGCAAAGGGACAAATATTGTCCACCTTAAGGCATGAAAATTTAAAGATCCTTTTAAAGATAAATCCGTCGGAACTCTATCTTAAGGTGCAAAGGGACAAGTTTCTCCACCTTAAGGCATAGAAATTTAAAGATTCGTTGAAGGATAAGCTCACAATAAAACTAGATTAAGGTGCGAATGGACAAATATCGTCCACCTTAAGGCATGAAAAATTTAAAGATCCTTTTAAATATACACTAGTGAAAAAGTCAACTTAAGGTTCAAAGGGACAAGTTTGTCCACCTTAAGGCATGAAAAATTTAAAGATCCTTTTAAATATACACCAGTGAAAAAGTCAACTTAAGGTGTAAAGGGACAAGTTTGTCCACCTTGAAACATAGAAATTCAATGATCTATTGAGTGATAATCCGCAACAAATCTAGCTTAAGGTGCAAAGGGACAAATCTCGCGCACCTTTAGGCATGACATTCAATTACATATGCATTTGGAGACTTCTATTTATATACTTGAAGTCTTATTTCATACTTAGAGTATCTGAATACTTCAACCTGTATACTTAGAGAATTTGGGTACCTCAAATAATAAACTCGAAGAATATAAAGACTCCAATTTTCATACTTCATCTAATTTAAAGACTTCCACCGTACTAATAAGAGATTCATATTTTGTAAGGGTTTGCCCCTTCCATAGACCCATCAATACTTCGTGCAAGTCTTAAGTTTGATGAGACAAAAGATAAAAATAAAATATATATCACTTTGACTTTCATGCAATAGATCAAGTGGGAACATTTTTTTTGACACTCATGCAACTGAACTTAGAATATGGTTCTAAGCGCCTACGTACCTCAATAGAGAGGATCAAGTCACAACGTAGTTCTGGGGATTTGAGTTATTATTCTTTTTTTTTCTTTTTATTTTTGTGGTTGTGCCGTACACAGTTTATACTCTTGCAGGCCAGGAGTGACATGCAGTTTAGGTTCGTACCTTAAGGAGAATCATCTTCCTTCAAGGATAGTATCTTTTTAGAAATTTGGCATTACTAGGACCGATCCTTAAGCCATCAATATCAACAAGCTTGTAAGCACCATTTGAATATGCTTCTTGTACGACATATGGTCCATCCCTCTTTGAGGTAAATTTGCCCCCAGAATTGTGCGAAGTAATGATTGGTCTTCTTACTGCGAGAACTTGATCTCCAACTTGAAAGCATCTCAAGCGAACCTTTTTACTAAAAGCACGAGATAGGCGAGCTTGATAACATTAAAGGTTTCGTTGGGTTTCTAACCTCTTTTCATCAAGTGCTTCTAACTCAGCAAGACGTAATCGAGAATTTTCTTCCTCAGTGAGCCCTTCTTTAATAGCAAGTCTTAAGGAGGGTATTTGACGCTCGAGTGGCAGGACTGTTTCACCTCCAAAAGCAAGTGAATATGGTGTTGCTTGAGTTGGTGTGCGATATGTTGTCCTATATGCCCAGAAAGCTTCTTCCATTCTTTCATGCCAATCCCGTTTGGATTTGGAGACAACTTTCTTAAGCAGGTTGCATAGAGTTTCATTGAATGCTTCAGCAAGACCATTAGCGGCAACATGGTACATAGAAGATTTATGATGCTTAAAGTCAAAAAGATCACAAATCTTGTTCATTAACTTGTAATCAAATGGTTTGCCATTATCTGTTATTATATATCGAGGGATGCCAAAGCGATAGATAATATTTACTCGGATAAAATTTGCAGCATTCTCTTTCTTCACCTCTTTTAGAGCGACCACTTCAGCCTATTTTGAAAAGTAATCAGTTGCATCCAAGATGTACAAGTGTCCACAAGAAGACTTTGGTAATGGTCCTACAATATTCAGTCCCCAAGCGTCAAATGGCAAGATGCGATGGTTGGGTGCAATACTTCGGGTGGATCATGAATGAAATTCGCATAAATTTGACAAGCATCACATTTTCTAGCATAATATAAGCAATCTTTCACCATGGTTGGTAAGTAATACCCCATCCTCTTTATGTGAAAATGAAGTTTTGGTCCAGATTGATGTGATCCACATACTCCTGAGTGTGCTTCTTGCAGAGCTTGAATCGCTTCTTCCTCTCCCAAACATCGTAATAACATACCCTCAAATGATTTTCTATATAATGTATCCTTGTAGTAAAGGAAACGAGGTGCACGACGACGTATGTCAGTTCTTTTTCTTGGATTTTCTGGAAGTATCCCATAACATAGGTAGTCAATGATGGGTTGTCTCCAATCTTCCTTCACAGCTTCAACAATGGCGACGATATGATCAAGCTTATTTTCAATATATTCTTCCTCATTTGACGGTGGTACTATCTATTTTTGACAGACAATTACTTGCATTTGATCAAGAAGGGTTAGCATTGAAGCTAGAGTAGCCAATGCATCAACTTTCTTATTCTCTGTTCGACACACATGTTGAAGGGTTACATCCCCAAGCCATCTTATCAACTTTTGAGCATAATCATGATAAGGTCGCAATTAAGACTTTTTTACCTCATAACATCCTAAGAGTTGATTAATCACCAATTGAGAATCACCAAAGACCAGTAAATGTAATTGTTTCATGTCAACGGCCATTTCAAGTCCAAGTATCAGTGCTTGATATCCAGCGACATTATTGGAGAAACATTGTTTTAGAGTCAAAGAGAATGGTAGAATCTCTTCTTTTGAAGTGATGAACACCACACCAGCACCGGCTCCGCCGCAATGTGCAGCCCCGTCAAAGTACATTTTCCAAGGAGGTTGAACTTCAATTAACATCGCATCTTCATCAAGAAACTCATCAGTTAATTCCCAATCATTTGGTATAGGATGGTCTTTTAAGAAATCCGCTAGTGCTTGTCCTTTCACAGATTTTTGAGGGATGTACACAATCTCAAATTGTTGGAATTGGAGGTACCATCTTGCTAGTCGGTCACTAAGGACAGGTTTTGACATGACAAACTTGATGTGATTTGCTCTAGAAATTAGGCGGACAACATGAGCTTGAAAATAATGCTTTATCTTTTGAATTGAGAAGACCAGTGCCAAGCATAACTTTTCAATTGGCGAATAATTTAGCTCATTTGGCGTCATCGTTCTACTTAAGTAATAAAGAGCATTTTCTTTGCCTTCACTATTCTCTTAAGATAACAGGGCTCCTACAGACCTTTCTTGTGCTGCAATGTAGAGTATCAATTGCTTTCCAAGTATAGGGGCTGCCAAAACCGGAGGTTTTGCTAGATACGATTTGATAGTTTTAAAGTCTTCGCTACATGTTTGGTCCCAATTAAAAGGAGCACCTTTCTTCATGAGATGACTGAATGGTTGACATCTCCCCGCTAGATTTGAGATGAACCTTCTCAAGTAGGCTAACATTCCTTGGAGACTTTTTAACTCGTGAATATCTCGAGGTTCAGGCATCTTTGATATTGCATCGGCTTTGGCTTGATCAATTTCACTTCCTCGATGTCTCACAATAAAGCCAAGGAACTTGTCGGAAGTAACTCCGAAGGCACATTTCAATGGATTCATCCTTAGTTGATATCTTCGGAGTAACTCAAACACCATCCTTAAGTCTTTCAAATGATCACCCTCTTCCTCGACTTTACTACTAAATCATCAACATAACATTCAACATTTTTATGGAGCAAGTCGTCAAAGATATTTTGCATAGCCCTTTGATATGTGGCGCCAACATTCTTTAAACCAAATGGCATCACTTTGTAGCAATAAATACCTTCGGGCATGCGAAATGCAGTGAGTTCTTCATCTTTTGGTGACATGAAGATTTGATTATATCCAGAAGAACCATCCATGAACGACATTGCCTCATAACCAGTGGTGGCATCAATCATCAACTCTGGAATGGGAAGAGGAAACTCATATTTAGGGCATGCATTATTGAGATCTCTAAAGTCAACGCAAACTTGAATTTGACCATTCTTCTTCCTCACAAGAACAATACTTGAAATCCATGTAGGATATTTGATCTCACGAATAAAGCCTGCCTCAATGAGTTTGTTAACTTCATTTTCTATCAACGGAATCAAGTCTGGTCTAAAACGTCTTTGAGCTTATTTAACTGGACGAGAACAATTTTTGACTGCCAATTGATGGACCGCTACTCTAGGATTCAATCCAGGAATTTCTTTGTAACTCCAAGCAAATACACCTCTATACTCTTTGAGTATATTCATGTAAGCGACTTCTTCATCAATTTCTAGAAACGCACTCAAGTAAGTTGTCTTCGGATCTTCATCAGTGCCAAGGTTAACTTCTTTCAAAGGATCTATTGTGATTTTTACTCCTTCATCATGTTCTGGTGGAGCATCTTTAGCATCTTCCTTTTCCACAGGATCATTGTCATTGACTGATATAAGACAACATGAGACAATATCTTCTACCTCTTCCTCAATCTTCTTTTGAGGCAAAGAATCATACTCATTTTGGATTAAAACATGATTTGAGGAACCTACACTTTCTTCATCTACCTCGCGCTCTTTGGTGTAAACCACAGTATGAACCTTTGCCTTGAGTTCCTCTTTATAGGAAACCATAAGTTCCACTCGTCGCCTCATCCTAGAAAGAATCAAACTTCTGAAATCCTTTCGAATCAAATTTGAAGTAGGCTTTGTAACTTTCAAATAACTTCTCAGGTTCTTGTTATTCTTATTCAGAGGACCTAACCTCTCAAACACAGAAATTCTTGTTGTTGCTTCACCAAGTCGATCAAAGATAGAAGGCCTTTTATTGGGAGTAGTGACATCATCTTCAAAAGTTTTATGATTATTACTGGCCCTTCTTATGGAAATGCAAATTGGCGGCGGTTGGCTATAACCTAGGCCTTCACGCGCTTTCCTAGTTGTATCTTCTGATGGGAGTTTCCCTAGCGCTGATGGCTCACTAGGGTTGTATCTTGCCGTCACAAATAACTGGTAGGCATTGGGATCAAAACCTTCTCTTGTGCACTTTGTAGGGAGAGCCATATCTAGCACTTGATCTTGAGCAGCTGACTTCTCTAGAAACTTTGAAGTCAAGTTTGTTTCATCAATCCGTCTGATAGGAAGAGCTAGCCCTCTTAATGTATTTTCTTCAAGGTTAGATGGTTGATCTTGTTCTTTCTTCGCTTTTGGAACATAACAAAGCCTAGAAGTCTGCTTTTTCTTTGAACACAAGATCTTCCCTTCATTAAGAATGGGACAAGAGTCTTTAGTGTCAATTTTCACCTTTTTGATAGCTGCATCAATTCTTTTGCTTATGATATTATCAATCTTGATTGATTTGACGTCATTGGATTTCACCCCTTTAACAACATAACTTCTCATATAGAATTTCACATCCGCAAAGTGTGTCTCCACTTCAGTGAAAGGATTATCATCTGCAACTATCTTTCTTTCAATTCCACCTTCATGATATTTCAAACATTGATAGTAAGAAGATGAGACAATTCTATTCTCATGTACCCAAGGCCTACCAAGTAATATATTGTATGATGTCTTTGCGTCAATCACATGCATCCATGCGCTTGATCTCAAATCTTCCATGTGGATCTCTAATTTAATAGAGCCTATAGACCTCTGCCCGCCTTGATTAAATCTTTGTATCAACAGACGACTTTCACTAAGTTCCCCAATCGTGATGCCAAGTTCCTTCAATGTGTGGATATGCAAAATGTTGACTCCAGATCCTTCATCTATTAAGATTCTATTTGTTTTCTTCACTAGCACATGGCCCACCATATACAATGGACGATTGTGTAGTGCTTCACCAAATAGAAGATCGTTATCTGTAAATGTGATTTTAGTATCACAGACATGTGCTTCTTGGAAAGAAAGTTCAATAGATTTTTCAGAAGATGAAAGAGACATCATTTCTGAGATTTCCCTTGTTTCTTTTACTTCTTCACTAGGAGACACTTTTGGTAAGGGTTCACTCGTTGTTCCTTCTTTTACAGTAGGAGGCACCTTCATTGTTTGTCCTTTATCCACATTGAAACATGATGCCTCGACATTGCCTTGAGTAGACTTTGTGTTGAACGAGCTTGGCAAGAATTCCTCTAGAGTCAAAAGACGTCGAGGTTTTTTGTAATGATGCACTTCAACCTTTGCCTTTTTGGGGCGCTTGATTGATTTTTGCTTATCTGATTTCTTCACCATTTTTTCTATAACCGGTTGCTCAGATAATTCTTTTCGTAAGCTTAACTTGTTGCGTCTTCGCCTAGTTACAAGAATCCAACCCTCATCACCATCTATGTCAACGTCTTGGTCTACTGGCTCTTCTTTATGCTTTTCAGAGATATATATTTGGACCGGATCCAGTGACCCAAACGTGATAGAGGTATGGTTAGAACTAGCCTTCTCATCATCAAGGATAATTTTATTTTCGTTAGCCAATCGCATCACTCTATCCTTAAAGACAAAACATTTTTCAAGAGGATGACTCACAAGTCTATGATACTTGCAATAATTTGGGTCATCAGTTTTTCCAGCTTCATCGGGTCGCTTCATCTCTGGCAAGTCAATGAGCTTTAACTCAAGCAACTCATCAAAAATTTCAGAAACGTCAGAATCCAAGAAGGGATACTTTTTTCCTTGCATCTCCCTTAGCGTCGAATTTTGATTTTAACGTGCTTGGAAAGTCGTTCTCACATTTTGTTTTACGCCCTCATCGTGGTGAACTTTGCGGGTAACACATTTACACTCATGGATTCTTTGTTGTCATTTCTGGGCAGAAACATGCTCCATCTTTTGGGTTCCTGTTTGTCCCTTCCTTCGCGAGGATCATGGACAATAGTCATATCTTTTCCGGCAGATGACATGCTCAACTCCATATCGTAAGCGCGAGTAACTAAATCCTCGAAAGATTTTGGTTTTATTCCTTGCAAGATGTAAAGAAGCTCCCAGTGCAATTCCTTGAATACACATTTTGATTACAGAAGCTTCACTAAGCCTGTCCTTGCAATTTAGGATCGCGTTCCTCCATCGATTTATGAAATCTATGACCTGTTCATCCTTTCTTTGGCGAGTATTTGTGAGTTATACCATGTTCACTGTGCGCCTTGTGCTATAGAAGTGATTGAGAAACTCATGTTCTAGTTGCTCCCAACTATCAATAGAGTTAGGTTCGAGATCCGTGTACCAATCAAAGGCATTTCCTTTTAGAGAGCAGACAAACTGTTTGACAGGATAGTCTCCATATGTTCCAGCATTATTACATGTGTGCACGAAGTGCGCGACATGTTGTTTCAGATTTCCTTTTCCCTCAAATTGTTGAAATTTGGGAGGTTGATAACCGGCAGGCATTTTAAAGTTATCAATCCTAGCAGTGTATGGCTTAGCATACATATGAGAAGACTTGGTGGAGACTTCATACTTATCTTTGATAGTGCCTTCAATAAACTCCTTCAAGCGATCGAGTGGGATCATTCCTTCAGAAGAAATTGGCATCTCTTTAACAAACAGGGCTTTCTTAGCAGGATCTTCGATTTTTTGAACTTCAATGCCCTATCCATGTGCATGGCTAGCATCTCCATCTAAAAGTCCTTCTATCATGTCCATCAACTTGTCAATTTGAGATTCTTGGTGTTGTACATGCTTCATCAATCCTTCAACCAACTTCGTCAGATTTGCGAGTTGTTCCTCAGGAGAGGAAGCAGCAGTCACCATCGTTTGCATGATCATCAGAGATGCCGGAGAGTAACATATGGGTTGTCGCATAAGTTAATTTTCAGTGGACTCACGTTATGCGATATATGTGGAGATGATTCATAAGTTGAATCACAGTTCTCCCTTGTGGTATAGTTCTTGGAACCAGATTGCTCAAGTAGAGCCAATGTCTTCTTGATCTTTTCAGCAACACTACTTCCTCCTTCTAGAGCATTTGTGGAGGAACTTGCTCCTTTTGGAGTCGAAGACCCAAAAACAGGAGTTGACGCAGACGACACTTGAAGCATTTGTTGTCCTAGTGTAGCAGCCTTGCTTCTCGTAACAACTCCAAAACTTCCAAAGGTAACACCAAGGATGTCTTCAACTTCAGTAGAGAACTTGGAGCTAGTGACCTTAGAGGCGGTTGATCGAGAGTTGTTGTTCATGGAAGTCATCTTGATATTCTTTGACATTTGAAAAGTTGAGATGAGAGGTAGAGATTGTCCCACTGGGCGTGCCAGAATTTGTTTGCAACAAATTTTGAACATATGAAAAATAAACAAACCATACAAATAAAATATGAAGAAACGTGATTTTATTCATCAAGATTGTGAGTACAAATATGTTCCTCCCTTGATTCTACTCTCTAAGATAATTTATCCATGATTCGAGGGCTGTTAGTGGCGTATTTCTCGAATTAGAATGATTTATATTCGACCTTTCTATATGAATAATCATCAATTTGTGGAGTATTCGAGATCTTGATCTCTTTGTGGATATTTCGAGATGCCTTTTAAGAGAATTTAGTACCCTTTATATAGGTATAAACTAGGGTTTAGGGTTGAGTATTATCCAAGAATCCTTATCTGAGTTGAACACAATATGTAG